AAATATCTTCTTTGTATATTTATGAGAGACGTGCAATAAATCAAGTTCAAATACAACTCCCAAAACAATATTAGCATACTAAACAATCAGCACCCGTTAGGCTTTCTAGATTCATATAAATATCACTGCTATGGAAATTTATATTCCAACGTCACCTTAACACATACAAACATGTGTCACTCACTTCATAAGTAAGTGCAGAGATAAATAAAAGTTATTCGAATTGCCATATTTTCGCACGCTTTAAAGAAGCTTGCATGTAAACGAGCAAGTCTTGGCCTTGATGCCGGCATTTTTACGACTTAAACCTTTCGGCGACCTCGACCAGTCTGCATAAGTCTCGCTAAATTCCAGTAGACGAGTAAAAGAAATACTTAAAGCCATAAAAACGTCTGTCTGCATGCGATTGTTTACGGAATTTCCGACTGCGTTTGAAATGGCGCATAAAACGACTGGACTCTGGGGACTTAGGCGTGTTGTAAAAACTTTTGCCGAGGCAGGCGGTTGAAAGAGTGAGTGAGTGTGCTGTAACTGGCCTTTGTATTGATTTATCTAGGTTTGAGGTGATTTTCCTTTCTCTTTATAGCTCATATCCACACCCACTTTGTCTCACTGTTTGTTAGGCCATTTCGTTAACGCGCTTTAAATATGGTGAATTTTTGTTTATATAGGCAGCAACAACTTCCAGCATGTTGGTTAATATATTATGTTTACTTTCTTTTTTTATATGCATTATGGAATACGAGTATCATAAAAATTGTGTCTGTGTCGCTTGAAGTTGTTTAATGACTTTAATACGGTTTTTGATAGACCGTGAAATTTCTCGCCATCAAAAAGTAATATATATAGAAGCGTGTTAATAAATTAGGTAATATTGACATAACTATGTGGAATTGGATGCTAGATACTATAAAATTTGATTTCTGGAAATTTAGAAACACTATTTGATCAAACAGGATTTTAAAAGCATATTTATACTTATGACTTCATAAAGGGCTGCATATGCCTAGTAGTTGAAGAGCAAGCTCTGTATTTAGCCATGGGACCTTACCTTACATCAACAAAGTTTCAGGATATAAATTAAATTAAAAAATAATAATAATATTTTTTCGAGTTAGACACTATCTTCAACGGCATTTGTCCTTACCTGCAGTGATTTCGGTCTTCTCCGTGGATAAATCCTGAAAAGAAATATCTTAACTAGAAAATACCCTCCGTTTGAACTAGAAATAATAGAGATGTGTGCTCAAAATGCACTTCTACTAAGCATATTGTATCTACCACACAATAAGTTATTTGGTTTAAGTCTTTGCTAAAAAAAAATGCGCCTAATTGTAGGCAGTGTTTCGACACATCTTTGAAATAAAATGTATATACCATATCGGTATACAAATTTCTTTAAGAATTTTATACTCCAATATCCTTTAATACTTATTTAATATCTGCGATAAAAAAGCTGATCTTGAACTAAGCAATAACTAGCGAAAAAATTTTAAATAATCTACTAAAAACACAAACAGCTGCGCGTGTCTACACTAATTTTTTCTCTATATATACTTAGACAGTTAACCTTTGCGTCCAGACTAAAAGCTTTAACAACCCGCTAAATTTAATCCCCAACAGATTAATAGCTTTTGCTGACAAGCCTGCCCACCGACGTTTTGTCTATGTGTCAACTGGAAATTAATGGCGGCGCTAACGCAATGTCATGCTAAGCTGACAAGACCACACAAGCGCTGTCAAAATGGTAGACACTAAATTCCAAAAAAGAAAAAATATATACATATACCAAAAACATCTAGCAGCATGTACTTAATCCCTTCTGTACGCTAAATGTAAGGTGTACCGGTGCGTATGAGTGACATTAATTTGAGTGTTGAAAGTAAAATTTAAACATAATCACCTACAAATTCCAGACATGTGGCAATCATTCAACGGTTAATGACTTGCCATTTGTTTAAATATATATGAGACACACACACTCAAAGATAGTCACACACACACCCAAATAAACAGTTCCTACGTGCATATATAGTAAAACAGCATATATGCGCACACTAGCCAGTAAACGCTCATAAATACGCGCACAAAGTAAGTGTAAAAGCATAAATGCTTTCGCTTAGCGAAAAATTTCTCAGACCCCCTGCCCCCTAAGCATGTAACTGTTTGTGTGCCCATAACAAGTGACTTGATGAGTAACTTGTCTCACAACAGCCTTTAAGCAGTCGTGGAAGCACTTGAGCGGGTGGCTGATTAACTACTAGACTAGAGACTACGGCGCTAACAACAACAGCGCAAACAGCAATAACAACACCAAACATAGCATCTTACTAACCGACTTTTAAGGAATTTTTTGCGCCACCCTCCCTTTAAGTTGGCAGGTGGTTACAATAACAATTTAGCTTTACCCTCTTCTTCCACTTCTCAAAAGCATTACGCGTAAATATGAACAAGCATACGTTCTGGCTAATGCCTACTTAACTTACCTGCAGCGAGCGTTGCTCCACTTGTTAACACCCCCTAATCCACACACATGTAAGTAGTTATTTACCGTCCGCCCTCCTCCACACATGTTGTTTATTGTGTCAGCAGTAACGGTATATTTGCGCTCATGCATTGTAGTTGTGATTTTAGCATTCACTTCCTCTTTCATTGTTATTATTATTGTTATATATGCTTTGTGTACGTGCGTGTTGCACATTTTCCTTTGTCACTTTTTATGCGCGTTGCGTGGCACTCTTTTAGCAGGATGCGTGCAACATTTTATTGTATTGTGTAATAGGAAACCATACTCGGAAAATTGTTATTACGCACAATACTCATTTAGCAGCGCCATCAAATATGTCGGTTTGTGTTTTCTCCTTATCATCCTGGCTTTCTTTTATTAGAGTGCTGAAAGGTGTGGCCTCTGTGAAAGGAAGCATCTGCAGTGATTGTTTTATTTCCTGAGACTCTGGCTGCAGTTAGTACTCTTATTTAGAACACAAACTATGAGGCGTAGACCAAATTACAGGTTTATGGCATATATTTGTAACAGTTAATGCGCCTGAAAGCCACCATAAGCATTGAGGATAAGATATATTAAAAATTGACTGATAGTTATCAAACGTAATTAAGGTCACTTCATCTCAACGAATCTCAGAAAGTAGGTCCATTGTACTCCCCGGAAACCATAATTTGCCACCTTACGATTTTTAAATGTTTTCGTTTGATATATTATTACTTCGACTAGGCTATGGTAGAGATTATGGTATACTTCGAAAATTATACACCGGTCCTTCTGAATAATGAAAAATACTTAAATACTTTGTACCAATTATTGGAAATATGTTAAGGCGACTAATTCAGATACCAGCTATTTTGTTTGAGTATCAAGTTGTTCTCACCTTAGCATCTTAAGGTTGCTTTACTTAGCGGCGAAAGCTTCGACAATTAATAAAGGAATTTATTTTTGTCTTTCTACATTATCCTTGAAAAATCTCCGCTTTGAGCAACTACAACTAAGTCGAGATAAAATTCTCTGAACCAAGCAGCTGAATGCACTTATGATTCAGAACAATCTTGAAACCACGTAAGTGTTAGGTAAAACTCGTGAGCTCTGGTAAAGCATCCTTAGTCTTCTGACATGTTAGCTTATATAGTTTGCTTTATTGTTCGTCACGATGCCACTGTGGCTCTTCACCCACATATATCAAATTATTCATTAGATCGATACAATTCATAATGCGCCTAAATATTGCGATCCGTAGTCTAGACCGTGTAGTGATTGAGCTTAATATCAGTAGCACGACTGTGCTATCGGCGCGAAGAATATCTTTCTGAAGTGGGCCGCATTTTGGAGCAGTATATCCATGGCTTCTATTCCCCTGAAGCCCCCTTTGCCGGAACTTCACGAAGGTATGAGCGCAGAGAAATAGTAATAAGAATTTGGCTCTGCTTTGAAATTATCGGTATGGAAGTTAAAATTATGAAGAAATTCAGAATGTTCATAACCTAGCACCGTCCAAATATAACGTTTTTTGAGTCGGTTAGGAATCGAGATTATATTTTATATACCTGGAATGAGAGTTGATACCAAGGACCCTATAAACGTAACGCGTTTGTTTATGAAACCTTCATAAATTCCTCGAGGATATGAGCGCAGAGTAGCAACCATTAGTAGTTGACTCGGTATTCTAAACTAACGAAATTAGTCAAAAAATATCATATTGTTCATAGTAGGCTTATGACCGTACCCATATCACGCTTACAATATTCTCTGCCTTCTTTATTCTTAGAGATCCTATATAAATATATATCACGGTCACGGAACTGAGTTAATTTGGCCATGCTTCTCTCGCTGTATATGCTTAATTATACCTCGATCTTGACATATCGATCTAAAATTTGATACGTCCTTTTCTTTTTCAAAAGCAACCTATTGGTCGGAATCGACGATATCGGACTGCTGAAGCGTTTAGCTGCCATAAAAACAGGCCAATAAAACTAAAGTCCTTGTATAGAAAACGTATGTGGTTTAGATAGATTATTACCGAATCTAACAGAAAAGTGTTATTCAGATCGAAAAACTATAGCAAATAGATACAAACTGAAAGATCAAGTCATGCGCACAAAGAATTTTTAATTATTTTAATACAAAATATGGTTAATGGAGTTCCGTAAAAAATTCTTCACAAAATTAATATGAGGATAAACACTGCATTAAAACCGTATATTTGTATTAAGCCTTAGCATGGCACCAAACCAGTTGATTTATTCAGAACTCTACACTGAATTCAATCAAACTATTTTTTTTCCTATTTCCTCTAATTTAGAGTAGACATTTTTAAACTAAGAATATTAGCTGTAGTATCAAATTTTGAAATCGAAGATGCGAAATCGAAAATTCAAACTCGAAAATTCGAATTCGAAAATTCGAAATTAAAGTTTTAAGACAAACTCAACCCGTGAACCTGAGTAAGCATATATAATTACAATTTCTCTCTCTTTTCTTTTTTCAGTCGCACGCATTCCGATTTATGCTGAAAATGTATTCGAACGCAGGATAGCAGCGCTTGCCTAACAACCAACTTCAGCAACAACTAAAATTTCGCAAATTTTTCTTTTTTATTTCGACTACGCTATAAATACCGCACGCATGTGGCAACGGAATTCGACGCAACAACCGCAACAACACCACACAATTTGCATTTTAGACACAATAATATTTACGAAAACAACAATACCAAAGGCAACAAATTGCAACAGGCGGAATTGATAAGTGCACGTACACGTACACAAACAACAACTCACGCCCCCACCCCCCCGAAACCCCCCAAGAACGACAACAACGTGCGTGTCAAAGGCAACTATGCATTTGACACACCACAACAACAACGATGATGAATGTGACAATTCAATATCATCAATAAAGGCGACAACTGCAGCAACAAACACTTGCCACACACGTTGCAACGCAGGCAAACTGCAGCAACAACATCGACAACAACAACTAAATCAGCAACTGCAACAAAGTGTGAGTGGGAGCAGGCATAATAAGCTTAGCGGCGGTGGTTGCCACACTGCAGCAACACAGCAACGGCAAAATGTTGCACAAATACGAAAATGGTGCGAACGACCACGAGTGTCAGAAGCACAACGCCAGCGGCCAACAAGCACGCCTGCAACAACAACTACGCGTTTAGCCGCGAGCAAACGCAACGTGTGGACCCATGATGCCCGCAACACATTGGCCACACTGCTACAAAGTAGCAACTTTTTTACTTATGCTTTTGTTGTTGTAATATTTTTAAGCAGCTACAGTGTGGCAAGTGTGCGCGCTGACAGCGATAGCGCCACCGGCACGCCCAGCAACAACCCAGCGCCAATTAGTCAAATTGTAAATACAAATAGCAACAACAGCAACAACAGCGGCAGCAGCAGCACCACCACCAGCAGGAGTAGTAACGATCCAGCTGGCAGTAATTATCGCGATATGCCGAAGCACCGCAAAGCGGACGCCTATGAATATGATGTTATTAACAATAAAAACAACAACAACAACAATAATGARAATATTAATAAAAATTACAACCACAACAACACGGCTGTCAACATCATACTAAGTGATTATAGTGAAGCCTTCGCCAGCCTGGTGGCCGCGGGGCCACTAAATGACGCCAACAACAACAACACCAGCAGCAGCAGCAACAGCAACAGCGCCGAGAGTGCCACACTCAACAATGTTACTACAGCATTGCCGGCCGGCGCAGTGTCTAATGATGATGATGCGCCGTTCGAGCTGTCCGATGAGCTGTTGGATAGCCTGCGTGGCACGCACAGCTTGCCGCAGCAACCGATGTATACGAACGACTTTGCGGTGCACATACCAGCTGGCAGGCAAATGGCCGACTTAATTGCCAATAAATATGGATTCATCAACGAAGGCCAGGTGAGTAATATGATTGCATTGCGGTCATATGCGAATATGTGTGCCAGTGTGTTTGTGTGTTACGAAATATGATATGCGTCATGTGATATCCGTAACATTTTTGAGCTTCTCTTACGGAAATAATGATTTTTGAGGTTGTGTGTGTAGCCTGCGCAAACTTTTCGTACAAGTTTGCATAATAATTGCATTGGCGAGATTTGTGAGCAGATTTGAAGCTCCGAAAAGTTAGATTATTATATTAGCAGAGCAGCCATTTAATAAGTGAGTCACAGAATGTTAAATTTTTTAAACTGTGTCCATTTTGACGGTAACTATTACTTGAGCCTTTCTCAAGAAGTCATCTCATCTTTTACAAGAGCTCTACAGAATGATTGCCTACATTTGGGAGCGGAACGTTTTTTGTCTGAACTCATGCAGTCGCTAAAGCCTTTTTCACTAGACAGGGTGACGTTATACGAATAGCTTAAGCTTACACAGCCAAAACTTTTTCCTGACATCGCATTTATTCTTTGATAGAAAACTTCAATTTATCCTCACATTGCGAAAATTATTGCATACATTTGGGAGCGGAAAAATATTCCTGGTGTGGTTTAGAATCTCATCTGAATATAGCAATGTTACCGCTTTTAGTTGATTAAATAATGGCTTAAAGTAAGGTCCATATTATTGTTGAGAAGCTTTTTATAGTTATATATGTATTGTGACAAAAAAGCACCCGGAAATTAAAATATTTAATTATCCATCAATATTTATTTTTTCGCTTTCAAACTAATCTCCCTCAGATGTAATACACTTATGCCAACGATTTTTCCAGTCCTCGAAACACTTCATAGCGATACAGCCTTTTTAACAGTGATTGGAGAAGGAGTTATATGAATGTCTGCCACTAACTTAATTTTCCTGGAAAAATCGCAATACTTTTTTAATAATATTTTGTGTTTACTTTATCATTACAAAACACATTGCCTACTTTTAGGAGTGAATAAATTTCTTTGAGTGTTTCGAGGCGTCGTCGCAATATATCCGCTGGAGTCGAAAAGTAAAATTCATAATACACTTCAAAACCATATTATCGGTCTACAATATAATTTAGCTAACTTGCTTAAATGCCAGGTTAATTTTGTAATCTTGTGCTGTAAGAGAGAGTATTTGGTAATAGCGGTTCTCAGAGAATATTATGTCAACACAAGGTCACCAAGACTAAACACATGCTGAGAAGAAGTTATTCAAATATCTCAGACGAACTAAGCTACGACTGAAAGCTTTTCTGAAATGGCCGATGTGTTTTAATATAATGTGTTGTTGTGACATTGAGAATGAGATATGGAATTATTATAGGATTTTCCAACCTGTGGTAGGCTAGCAGCAAACAATCTTAGCCACACTCACTCTGCACTTACTGAAATTTTTTTTTGTATTTTTTGTCCGCTTTGTCATAAAAAAATGGAATTCCGTAGAGATATTATAGTTATAATTTTATCTCTTTTATAGGTTGCAACTCTATTTCTAAATATTTCGTATATAAAGACTTCTAAATTTCTTTGTGTATATGTTTTGTTTGTACGTTTCAGTATTTAAAGAGGACTATTTTTATTTTTGCATAGCCGGCAACTCTTTACCATAATATATTTTATATAAAAGCTGTTAAAATATTTGTTCAGCATATTTTGTTCGATCATTGTAGCATTTCAAGAGTGATATTTTTATTTTTGAACAAGTGGCAACTCTTTGCCGAAATATGTCTTACATGATTCATTCCAAAATAATTTTTTGCATGATTTTTCTATTGTTTAGACATTTCAAAAGTGATATTTTTGGTTTTTTTAGGTGGCAACCCCATTCGAAAATATTTCTTATACAAAGAGTTCGAACTTTTTTGGAGTATTTTGGTTCCATAATTTTAGCTTTTTTATTTTTCTTCTAGGTGGCAACTCTATTTTTTAAATATTTCGTATATAAGAAATTATAAATTTCTTGTTTTATATTTTTGACTCGTACATTTCAGCCTTTGAAGAGTGATATTTTTTTTTGTAATAAGTGGCAACACTGTTTTCATAAATATTCTATATTTCAACATTAGAAGCCTTTGAATAACCTATATCAGCGCGCAAATTTGACCCCAAAATGCAATATAGTATTTAGTATAGTATTCTTTATTTTCATATGTACAATGTCCCTTTCCTCATATCCCTTATTTATGACTTGATTTACTCGATGTAGTATAAAACCAAAAATTTGCCAAAATCTATGATGCAGCGGTTATATGAGGCGCTAGCGCTCACACACAAAGACTCAAAATGAGCTTACACTACACACGCACATACACAAGTTCACTTTATTCTGCCGCGGTTTGTTGAACACCCTGCAGAGCGAAAATTAAATATTATTTATTGCTACAATGTCAATAATAATTTTATTGCAAACTCACGCAAGTGGAAACCAACAAAAGTGGCCTACAATGACCAGCCAAAATCTGGCAGAGAAAAAAGTAGCATTTAGCAACTAATTTGGCGGCATTATATTGGTGAGCGTGTTGGCCGCAATTACACAAACACATTTATAGACACACATAAGTACACATACGTACCTACCGAATTTTACTTATGCACTTCGCTTGGGTGGCATAAGTGTAGGCGTAAACACTTAAATAAACTGTTAAAATGGCTGCTGCGCACATAGACAGAAGTACACACAGAAACAGAGTAACAATCATTTGGTGTATGAAATAAATAATATTTAACAAAACGAACAAAGGCAGCTGCTTATGGCTTAATTTGTACAAGTGCGCAAAATTATATCCCGAACTTACATGCTTTAATTATCGGCGCTTTTATTTTCGCAAAAATGTCACTTAATTTTCCCAACGCTCCATTTTGCTAGCCATTTCATCGCAAGGCGTAAACAAGGCCATTTTATTATCAATAAAATAAACACATTTGAAGCGCGTACAACAAAAGGAATAATAGCTTCAATAAAAGTGCGAAATATTGGTACTAAAAACAAATTTTCGAAAGTTTTGTACAAAAATATATGTTGTGACAAAAAAATACCATAAATTGTAAATAAAACGCAAAATATTTATTTATTCATCAATATTTATTTTGAAAATGATTTTCCTGTCCTCAAAATGCTTTTCATAAGCATCTGTCGGTATGGCCTTCAGCAATTTTAGCGAATTTCGATTTATCTCTTCGATCGACTGAAAACAGGTCCCACGGAGAGGCAATTTCAGTTTGGTTAACAAAAAAGTCACATTTAGTTTAGACTTGCGATGTCTTGTGAAAAATCCATGACTTGTTCTTCCACATTTCCGGCCGTTTTCGGTGGATGTTTGCACGCAAGCGCCTCAATACGGTCAATTAGAACTCCTTAGTGAACGTCTGTCCCGTTCGTGAAAAATCGACGAATATGGAAAGCAGTGACACAATTTGATTTCTGAGCCGCTTTGGTCTGTTTTTTTTGGTTTCGGCTCGTTTTTTCCCTCTATTCCTATGTTTGTTGATCTGTTAGTAGGTCTAACTCATAAAGCCAAGTCTTATCGGCAGTTATGATGCTCTCCATGAATGTGGCATCGGAATTCACACAATCAAGCATATCCAAAGAAACCTATCTACGGTACGCTTTTTGAAAACAATTCTGCTCTATCGAGATGAGTCGAGCAAGAACGCGTTTCATACCCAAAATATCCAACAAAATCATTCAAACGGTCGGTCCGTCACTTGCCTTTTTTCAAGCACCATATCTTTAACTTTTTGAACTTCTTCATCAGTTAAATAGATCGAAGATCATCCAGAACGAGGCAACAATCTCTCGACAGTCTTTGAAGGCTTTGTACTACACGTAGGCTTGTGATTTTGATAAATCTGAATAACAGTTCCAACATTCGCTACAATTCCGCACACGAAATTTGGTTACAAATAAAAAATTTGAAACAAATTCATTGTTTGATATTTTCGTTCATTTTCGAGAATCGAAACATACTACTGAGATGTACTGACGTAATATTTAGCATAGTAGTTAAGGATAGTCATACCAACTAAGAAAATAATTTTTTTTTTTTTTTTCAAATATCATTTACCCGGGGAGTTTATAATATCCGCTCGCTTTTTTGTTATAATGGAGATATATTTGATTATAAATTCTTGTAACTAACTTTTAGCTTTGTTTGTCAGTCCGGGTGAATTTTGATAGTATGGCGTTCCCAAAATGTACTTATTTTTAAAGCACGATTCTAATAATATGGTAGTGGCGCTGTCATTTACCTCATATAACGATTCTTTTTGCCAATAGTATGAATCTGATTGCTTATAATGAAGATTAAATGTATATTTTTATTAGAGTTCTTATATTATATATGTATATATTTATTTGTCGCATTTTGCATTTCTACGATTTATGTTTACATGTACAGGCTGGTTTTACCATATACTTATATATATTTATATATGAAAATGTACCTTAATATACATATCTACGAGTATATTAACAATTGTATTTCTGTATGTTTATTCATACGCATTCTCCTTCCTAAATATGAAATATTCTATATATTTTTCTTTCGAGCTTCTACGCACATACATATGTGTGTATAAGTTTTACTCACATTCGATACACACGCCCCACTCGCCTGCCTGTCATAAATTTGATATTCAATAAGTAATGACTCTCCAGTGAGCTATATGTTTTGCAATAACAGCAACGAATAAATCAATATTGAATTTATGTTTCCGGCATCGAAATGCTAAAAATAGTAAAAGGCACCAAACCAAGTAACAAAATATAAATAAAAATANTAAGCTTTTATAAATTTGATTTTTGTTTCATTAATTAGTTGTATAAATATTATATAAAAGCTATGTGGAATCATATGAAAGAGATTGCGATATTAGTCGACTACTTTTATATGTATAGGAAGTCGAAGAGGAAGTTCAAGGAAAGTGATGCAAACATGCTGAAATTGTTTGTATTTATTTTTTCATCCATTTCATATTCCATGCAGA